CCAAAGAAAAACAGCAATCTCAAACTCAAAAAACTATTATAAACCCCAATCAGGGCCGGTGGGAGTCAGTAATGCCTAGGTACATCATAGCAGCATTACTGAAAATCAGTGACAAAAAGAGAATCTTCAAAGTAGCCAAAAAGATGCATTATTTTTAAATATAGAAAATGAGACTGACAACAGATTTCCTAGCCAAAACAATGAAAGTCAAAGGCAATGGATTTTCAAAAATGCCATTTAGAGCTACATCAAATGAAAATATCAACAAAAATGAAATAAAAATTATATTTTTGACCTGTATGTGCTGAAAAATTTTGATCATTATGCTCTCATAAAAAGAAAATACTAAAAGATGTTCTTTGGATAAAAGAAAAAGCATTCCAGGTGCAATATGTGATATTAAAGAACAAATGAAAACAGAATAAAGACGTAAGTGGATAACTAAATTTATGTTAACTACTTAAAGTAATAGTAGCAACAGTAATAAATTATAATAAATTCTAGTCTTTAAAATACAGTTATGTCTTGCTTAATGAAGGGGATATATTCAGAAAATGTCATTAGATGATTTCATCATTGTATGACTATCATAGAATATACTTACACAGACCTACATGGTATAGATCAGTCACTTGACAGTTCTCTTGATGTGGTAATCAGGAGATGTATAAAGCTGCTATTTGTGCATCATGGCATAATGTTACATAGTTATTTTTAAGTAGGTATACACTTTAACATAACAATAAATTTATAATATATAAACCACTAGCAATCATTTATTGTCATTTCCAGGTATAACATACCTGATTTTGTGTGCTATGTCTTTATACAATTGACAGTGCAGTAAGTTTCTCTCTTTTTAAAAAAGATCTATTTATTTGAAAGGCAGAGTTACAAAGAGAGAGATCTCTTCCATCTGATGGTTCACTGGCCAAATGGCTGCAATGGCCAGGGCTGAGCCAGGCTGAAGCCAGAAGTCAGGAACTCTAATGAGGTCTCCCACATGGGTGGCAGGGGCCCAAGTGCTTTGGTCATCTACTGCTGCTTTTCCAGGTTTATTAGCAGGAAGCTGAGTCAGAAATGGAGCAGCCAGGACTTGAACTGGTGCTTTTATGATATATTGGCATTGCAGGTGGCAGCTTAACCTGCTACACAGCAGAGCCAACACACAGTAGGTTTCTTTATGCTAGTACTGCAACAATCACATTGTAATGTGTTGTGATGACATTACTATAGCTGCCATGTCCTAATAGGAAATTTCAGTTCTTTTATGACCATATGGAAACACCATTATATATGTGGTCTATTTTTGATTGAAAGGTTGCTATGCAGTGTGTGGCTATATGTAATTAAAATGTATAAAATTGCACACAAGTCAGGAGAGAGGTCATAGAATAAGTGTTTTAAATTCTGTTAATTGCCTGGGAAATATACAGAAGATTCTGGTGTTAAGAAGTCAAACTATGTGTAACAAATTGAATATTTTTTTCTCACTCTTCCCTCAATTCAATATGTTGAAGTACTAACTTCTAACGTATTGTTTTTTGAGGTGATGACTTTGGACAATAGTTAGGTTTACAGGAATTATGAAGGTGGAAATCCATGATAAAAGTAGTACCTTTATAAGAAGTGGAAGACAGACCATTCCTTTCTGTCCATGATGTGAGAACACATCAGGGTAGCTGTCTACAGTTAAGGATGAGTCCTTAGTAGATATCAGCTTTGCCTGCAACCTAATATCTTGTCTTCCTAGTCTCCAACACTGTGAGAAGTAGATGTTTGTTGTTTGGCCAACTCAGTCTATGTTATTCACCCTATTCTGTTTTTTAACGTAAGAGAACTTTAAGCATGTTTCCGGTCTTTTAATAAGAACTGTAGTTTACTCACTTTTTTAAAGGTAAATCTTAATGTAAAGTTTCAGAAAATGTATATTAAACACATTTGAAAACACTCAAAGATTTTACTTAAGATCAACATAGTTGTAAAAGTTATTAGGGAACTGTGTCACATAGTACTAAGCAGGTAGTATGCAGATTACAAATGGGAAACAACTTTATATTGGTGATAACTTCTGGTCATCACATTAGCCAGGTGATCAAATCAGGTCTCTAATACTGAGAGTAACTGACAGATGTGCTTCCTTATGGGGTACATAGCATCACCTAGAAAACATTCTTACCCAAATTGTTTAGCCTGAAGTTATTGAACCCTTTAGACCAAATTTGATTTTATTAGAAATACTGATAATAAATAGAAACATTAAAAGTTGCAATGAGGTAACACTAAGATAAAGCAATTGGGTGGTCTATTAGAAATATCACTGCCATAGATGGTAGACTTACACTTCTGGATGAAATCTTTCCGATTATGGGAGCCCATTGTTCCTATCTCAACAACTTAATGAGAAAAGAACGTTTCCAAAAAAATTTTTTTTAAAGATTTATTTATTTGAAAGTCAGAGTTACACAGAGGAGATGCAGAGAGGGAGAGAGACAGAGACAGAGACAGAGAGAGAGAGGTCCTCCCTTTTCTGGTTCACTCCCTAATTGGCTGCAATGGCTAGAACTGTGCCAATCCGAAGCCAGGAGCTAGGAGCCTCCCCCAGATCTTCCCACACCAGTGCAGGGGCCCAAGGACCTGGGCCATCTTCCACTACTTTCCCAGGCCACAGTAGAGAGCTGGATAGGAACTGGAGCAGCCAGGACTTGAACTGGTGCCCATATGGGATGCCTTCACTGAAGGCAGCAGCTTTACCTGCTACACCACAACGCCAGCCCCCAAAATTTTGTTTTTAAAGATATCAGAGAACTGTGAATGAAGTGAATAGCAAAACAATTGCAATTCCAGGGAGTGAGAGAGAAGAGAACAATAAGTAAGTTATAAATTGTATGCTGTTCTGAATAGTGTTAGAGAATCTCCTGCAGGGTATCCATCTGTGTATGCTCCCTGCTAGTCATTCAGGAGCTTTCTTGGTTTTCAGATTGATCGTTGTGTTGCCAATGTACTAGTGTTTAAATAATTCACACTTTGCTAAGTAATGTCCCCAAAGAATAAGAGCAGTGATGGTAGCAATTCAGACAAGCCAAAGAGAAGCCATAATGTGCATCCTTAAGTGAAAAAATGAAAGTTCTTAATAAAGAAACAAATGTATGCTGAGTTTGCTAAGATCCACAATAAGAACAAATGTTGTATTCATGAAATTGTGAACAAAAAGAAAACTGCTAATTTTGCTGGCACACCAGACTGTAAGAATTAAAGCAATTGTGTATGAGAAGGGCTTAAGATGAAAGCAGCATTATATGGGTGTGTGTGTGTATGTGTAGGAAGAAACATAGCGCAACAGGATTCAGTGATGTCTGTAGTTTCAAATATCCACTGGAAGTCAGAGAAGAAGTGGCTACTGGAACTAAAAGGTGATTGCTTGCCTTTATTTGTACTCTTATTCTTAGTTATTCTAATTCCTTTAAACTTTATATTTTGAAATAATTATATTCTACATGAAGTAGCAAAATATTTCAGAATTCAAGGTATCTTTCCCACTGTTTGTTCCAGTCATAATGTCATATGTATCTGTAGCAAAAAATCAGAAAATTACCAGTGGTATAATATTGTTCTCTACATTATACTTCTTAATAGATTATTATCACTTTTACATGCATTTATCTGTGCATGTTAATTCTGGTATCCCATGTATAAATTATATAAAAACCACCACAATTGTGATACAGAATTCTTTCATAATCACAAAGAATTCCCTCATGCCAGCCTTTTATATTCACACCCTGATCTCTATTCCTTTGAAAACACTAATTTTTTCTTCCCCATATTTTATCATTTCAAGAATGAAATATAAATGTAATTATATAATATATAATCTGAGATTTATTTTTATACAAAATGCCTTTTGAACTATTCATATTTTTCATATATCAAGTTATTATATTCTATCATATTACTGTATTGACTTTATTTAATCACTCATCCATTGAAGGATATCTGAGTTGTTTTCCATTTTATGTTATTATAAATCAAATTGCTATTTCAAATAAAATATTGATATATGTTTTTGTGTGAATGTACATTTTCATTTCACAGGGATCAATGTCCAATACTGAAATTGCTTAATTGTATGGTAAGTGTGTATTTAGTTGTGTTAGAAATTGCCAAACTGGTTTCCAGAGTAGCTGTACTATTTTACATGTCCACAAGCAATATTTCAGAGATCAAGTTTCTCTCCAGCCTCAAAATAATTTGTTGTTGTCACTGATTTTAATTTTAGGTGTTCTAAGTAGCTGTGTAGTGGCACTCATTTTAACTTTAGCTAGCATTTTTTCTAATGGTGTAAAGTGTTAGACATCTTCTCACATTCCTGGTTTCCATTTATATCTTCTCTTTGGTGATAGGTGTTCCTGTCTTCTACCCATTTTCCAGCTGGAATACATTATTTCTGATGAATTTTGAGTATATAAACACTTAAATACCTTTGTCAGAAGTGTGATTTACAAATATTTTATTCGTGTTTGTAACTTTTATTTTCATCCTCTGATATAAATTGTATTTGAAAAGCAAAAGCTTTTAATTTTATAAAAGTCTGTTTTCTTGATTCTTTGTCATTTATGAATAGTGCCTTTGATTCCTAAGAATGTCTCAATGTCATCTCCTTTACTCACTCCTAATTCCCAAAGATTTTCTCAAATGTTTTCTTCTATAATTTTATAGATCACATTTTATGTGTTTTTTAAGATTTATTTATTTATTTGAAGAGAGGGAGGGAGGGAAAGAGGGAGGAAGGGAAGGGGAGAGAGAGTGAGAGAGAGAGAGAGAGAGAGATATTGAGATTGAGATTGAGAGAGAGATTGATTCTGCCTGCTGGTTCACTCTCCAAATGGCTGCAGTGGCAGGAGTTGGGCTGATCCGAAGCCAGGAACCAGGAGCCTCCTCCAGGTCTCCACTTGGGTGCAGGGGGCCAAGCACTCAGGCCACCTTCCACTGTTTCCTAGGTGTACCAGCAAGAAGCTGGATTGGAGATGGAACAGCCCAGACTCGAACGAGTGCCCATATGGAATACCAGAGCCACAGGCGGCAGTTTTACCTGCTGCTTTACCTGCTATGCCACAGCATCAGCCCCACATTTGCTATTTTAAAATGATTCTTATTTGTGGTATTTAGGAAGTATCTAAGTATATGTTTCCTCATATGAGCATCTAATTGTCCCAGCACCATTTGTTATAAATACAGTACTTTTTATATTGAATTACTTGGACATTGTTAAAAATCAATTATTCTTATATCATTGGTCTGTTTTTGAACTTATTAATTTGTTCAATTGATCTATTTATGTTGAAACCAATGTAAGTTGTGGTTGTTGTTCAGAACTGTGTATACTTTATGAAAGCAGGCTGATTGCTCCTAATTTTTCTTAATTCTTTTAGCTATTAAAATTTGTTCAACTTCCTATTATAAAATTTGAAATAATGTTGCTTGAGTAATGATGGGAAATATTCATTATGTTGAAAATTTCAGTCCATGAATTTGTTTCCAGATATCTAACTTTGATTTGTTTTATTAGTATTTTGTAAGGTTTGTCATATAGGTCCAGTATTTTTTTTCAGATTTACACAAAAGAATTGCCTTTTTTGAGTAGTTATAAATGGCATTGCATTTTTAATTTAATTTCACACATCTTTGTACTAGTATAAAAACATGGTTGATATTTATATGTTCATCTTGAATCCATTGATCATATTCCCTAGCTTTAATTGAGGAGTGTTCTTTTTGTAGATTTCTTGGAATTTCAGTTTATAAAAACAATTATATCACCACAAATAGTGACAGTTTATTTCTTCTTTTCCAGCATGTTATACTTTTATTTAGTTTCTTGTATTATTGTGTATGCTAGGAATTTCAGTATTTAATTTCATAAGAATTGAGAGGGTAAGATTTTGGCTTTTTGTGATTCCATGGAGGTAGTGTTGAGACTTTCATATAAAGTATAATGTTACTTGTAGGGCTATTTTTTTTAAAGATTTATTTATTTACTCGAAAGAGTTATACACAGAGAAGGAGAGGCAGAGAGAGAGAGAGAGACAGAGAGAAAGAGAGAGAGAGGTCTTCCATCCACTGGTTCACTCCCCAGATGGCCGCAACAGCTGGAGCTGCGCCTATCTGAAGCCAGAGCCAGGAGCTTCTTCTGGATCTCCTATGTGGGTGCAGGGGCCCAAGGACTTGGGCCATCTTCTACTGCTTTCCCAGGCCATAGCAGAGAGCTGGATCGGAAGTGGAACAGCCGGGACTTGAACTGGTGCCCATAAGGGATGCCAGCACTGCAGGCGGTGGCTTTATCACATCGCCACGGTGCTGGTCCCAGGGCTATTTTTTTTAAACAATTTTTTTTTTATTTGAAAGGTGGGGGAAGGGGGAGAGAGAGAGAGAGAGTGAGTTATAGTTCTTCTATTTGTTGGTTCACTCCCAAAAGGCTGAAACAGAAAGGTCTGGGCCAGGCCAAAGCAGGGAGCCAGGAACTCCATCTTCATCTGCCATATGTGGTAGGGACCCAAATACTTGGGCTATGTTCCACTCTCTTCTTAGGCACATTAACAAGGGGCTGAATCAGGAGTGGAGTAGTTGGTACTCAAACTGGCACCCCAATATGGGATGCCCGTGTCACAAGTGATGGCTTAAGCAGTGATGGCCCTAGTTCTAGGATTATTATTTGAGGGTAATTCAATAAGTTCTTGGAAGATGGAATTAAAAGATAATTTTATTTTGATGCAAAATTTTAAATCTATACAGTTTTTTCACAATATGCATTGTTCATGAAATTTTTGAAGATGTATCATAAATGCTCTTGAGGATATACAACTCCATTCATAAGTTATTCATAAGTTATTCATAAGAATAAACTGTACTCAGCTTTGGTGCATAATTGATTTTATATATTGATATAAATATTCTGTTTCCCAATTCTTGTGAAAAGTGTTCAATATTTAATTCATGAGGGATATTAGTCTGAAGCTCTGGGACTTGTTTTGTGTTGCCTTTGATTTTGGTGTCAGCATAATGCTATATAAAATGGGGATCACCGAATACACTGTGTTTCCTAGGTTAAAGAATTAAATTTTTCATATTTATCCTTTATAGTCCTTTTTATTTCTTCCTGCTTTTCTATACTTCTATTTGTGATAATTTTTTAGAAATCTGAAAAACATTATTTCTAGTGATATGAGTCTGCCTAAACATATTGTCTTAACTTACTTCATACATTTACAATTTAACTTTATTTTAATGTTTTTTCTTGGCTGTAGAATTGTGCAATGATAGTTTATTTTTTTCTCTCAGCAGTGAAAGTATGTACTTCTGTTTTCTCCTAGCTTACAATTTTTATTCAAAGTTAACAGTGATTCTTACTGTTTTTCCATTAGAGGTAGCATGATTTCTGTCTGTCTTTTAAATATCATGTCTTGGTTTCAGAAGTTTTACTTTATTGTGCCAATATGTGGTTTTATTACTTTTTCCTGTTGGTATTTTTCTGATATTCTTGCTAATAAATATATGTCAGTAAGTTTAGTTATTTTGGTACATTTTCACTTCAATTATTGCTTTTCCATGTCTTAGGACTCCATTCACACTTCTTTGGATCATTTAATTGCATATACCACTTATACTCTGTTTTGTTCATTCCATCTTTTTAATTTTGTATTTAGTTTGGATATTTTCTGTTGATCTGTCTTGAAGTTCACTACTCTCATGTTGTAACGTATGTAGTGTGCTATTAAATCCATCCAAATTTTAATTTTAGCTATTTTTTCTTTTATTCCAGTTCTTAGTCAAAATTTCCCATTTTTGTCCATGATATTCATCTGTTCTTCGATTTCCTTTACCATATTTATACTTGTAGTCCTTATTATTTCCCACATCTGGATCATCTATTCATCTGCTTATATTGCCTGTTTTTTTCTCTTAATTATCAATAATATTGTCTGTCTTCTCAGCATGCCTTGTGAAAAATTTGAATTTTTATTTTTCATTTTTTATTTAAGGTATACAAATTTCATATATTTCATATATTCAGATTCAGGAACACAGTTATACTTCCCACCCTACCCTGCCTCCCACCAGTGCTCCCACTCTTCTTCCTCCTCCCTCTCATATTCCCACTCTTAATTTTTATAGTATATAAGGAATCAAAAGATGAAATTTATGCATTTCCATTTACTCACAGCTTTAGTGATGTATATTTGTGCACTGTAAAAACCACCCCCTTATGCAATTCAATAGTTTTGATTATGTAAATGTATTTCATTGCAGTGGTTTTTACTATATTAATATATATAGCAGCCAACATCCAGAGTTTCAGAATATTGTAATCACCCTAATAAAAAACTGTATCCTTTAGCTGTCATCCCCCTCCCCCGGGCTTATACAACCACCAGATTACATTTTTTCCCTTAGAGATTTTCCTGTTCTAGACTTCCATATAAGTTTAATTATTTAGTATATGATCTTTTGTGACTGGTTTCTTTCACGTAGCATAATGTTTCAGGGTTTTTCTATGTGGTTGCATGGATCAGTACATCATGTATTTTCATGGCCTAATAATATTTCACTGTGTGGATATACCACTTTTCTTAAAACCCATTCATCCATCATGAACATTTGTGTTGTATCCTCCTTTTCTATATTGTAAGTAATATTACTATAAGCATTCATATACAATTTTCTATGTAAAATGTATGTTCATTTCTCATGGATGTTTACTTAGGAATAGAACTAATGATATGAGGCATATGGAAATGCTATGTTAATATTTGAAGAAGTGAAGAATGTTTTTTAAGGCAGCTGGACCATTTTACATTCTGCAGTATATGAGTGTTATCTCCACACACTCACCACACTTGTTTAATCAACATTTTAAAAATAACAAGCTTTATTTTTTATTTATTTTTTATGGGATAGAGCACACTTTATTGGGAAGCAGAGTGAGCAGTGACCAAAGGACCCCTTACCCTTGAAAGGATACACAGGATGTTTGCTAATAAAAATCAACTGGAGTATGAATTCCTCATGGCATCTTCCTAATCCACACCTCCACTAGAGGTAGGGAAAACTCCAGCCATTATCCTGAAGGCAGCTGTGGTCCACTAGAGATAGAGCCCCTCAATGGGACTTTTTTTTTTTTTTATAAAGAACATTGTTTTTAGAGTTTATGAAGTCTTAATTCATTATTTTCTTTCTGCATTCTCTCAAGGCCATCAGACTAGCTTCTGTACAGGTTGCCTTGATGTCAGCACTAGAGAGGTTGTGATAAAGTTGTTCAGTGTTTCAGCTTTACAGATGTGTCCCAAGGGACTAGTACCTGTTTCATCTTTTTGGAAGCACCAATATACTTGGCACATTCTAGATGCCTGGATACTACCAAGAACAAAGATGGTTACATGAAGATTTTAGAGGCCCTCAGAATTTCTGGCTGGGACGATTGATGAAGACTCCCCTCCTGTAAAAGGTTAATCTGTCAGGAACAGAAGTAGCTTTTTTGGGGTCTAAGAATCAGATACCAACACAAAGAATCAAGGAAAGCAAACAGAGAAATAGGTTCAAACAGAGGAACATATTGCTTTCAGCAGAGGCAGCCTTAATGAAGTGGAGATTACTGATGCACCTAAGATTTTAAAATAAGCATCATAACACTGCTTAATAAAATCAGGGGATTTATATGATCAAAATGAGAATTTCAGCTAAGAACTAGAAAATACAAGTATCAAACATATATCATGGAATTGGAAAATCCATTAACTGAACTGAAAATTTTAATAGATGAGTTCAACAGCAGTGTAGATCAAGCTGAAGAAAGGATCAATAAACCTGAAGTCAAGTCACTGGAAATTATCCAGTGAGAGTATGTATGTATTGAAATGTAGCATGATCACCCATAAATTTGTAAAATTGCTAATTTAAAAATTTTTTAAAGAATGAAAAAAGTCCAAGGGACATGCAGAATACCATCAAACAGACCTACATACTCTTAGGAATTTCAGAAATAAGAGGCAATGAGGTAGAAAGATTACTCAAACACTGCAAGAACATTCTCCAAATCTGGGAAGTAAAATGGACATGCAGATTCAGTACGCTCAATGGATTCTAAATACTTGGTTCCAAAGAAATCTGCACTGATATACATTATAATTGAATTGCAAAATGTCCAAGAGAAAATTTTGAAAGCAACAATAGGAAAGCAACTTGTTATGCACAAAGAAACAGCCAACTCATATTTGATCAAGGATCCAAAACCAATCCCTGGAGTAAGGACAGTCTATTCAATAAATGGTGCTGGGAAAATTGGATTTCCACATGCAGAATCATGAAGCAAGACCCCTACCTTTCACCTTACACAAAAATTCACTCAACATGGATTAAAGACTTAAATCTATGACCTGACACCATCAAATTATTAGAGAGCATTGGAAAAACCCTGCAAGATATAGGTACTGGCAATGACTTCTTGGAAAACACCCCAGAAGCACAGGCATTCAAAGCCAAAATTAACATTTGGGATTGCATCAAATTGAGAAGTTTCTGTACTGCAAAAGAAACAGGAAAGTGAAGAGGCAACCGACAGAATGGGAAAAAATATTTGCAAACTATGCAACAGATAAAGGGTTGATAATCAGAATCTACAAAGAAATCAAGAAACTCCACAACATCAAAACAAACAACCCAATTAAGAGATGGGCCAAGGACCTCAATAGACATTTTTTAAAAGAGGAAATACAAATGGCCAACGGACACATGAAAAAATGTTCAAGATCACTAGCAGTCAAGGAAATGCAAATCAAAACCACAATGAGGTTTCACCTCACCCCAGTTAGAATGGCTCACATTCAGAAATCTACCAACAATAGATGCTGGCGAGGATGTGGGGAAAAAGGGACACTAACCCACTGTTGGTGGGAATGCAAACTGGTCAAGCCACTATGGAAGTCAGTCTGGAGATTCCTCAGAAACCTGAATATAGCCCTACCATTCAACCCAGCCATCCCACTCCTTGGAATTTACCCAAAGGAAATGAAATTGGCAAACAAAAAAGCAGTCTGCACCTCAATGTTTATTGCAGCTCAATTCACAATAGCTAAGACCTGGAATCAACCCAAATGCCCATCAACAGTAGACTGGATAAAGAAATTATGGGACATGTACTCTGTCGAATACTATACAGCAGTCAAAAACAACGAAACCCAGTCATTTGCAACAAGATGGAGGAATTTGGAAAACATCATGCTGAGTGAAATAAGCCAGTCCCAAAGGGGCAAATATCATAAGTTCTCCCTGATCGGCGACAATTAACTGAGCACCAAAGGGGAAACCTCTTGAAGTGAAATGGACACTATGAGAAACAGTGACTTGATCAGCTCTTGTGCTGACGGTTGATGTACATTTTAGTATTTTTTTTGTTCTAGTACCATTGGTTGAACTCTGTAATTAATACACAATTATTCTTAGGTGTTTAAATTTTAACTGAAAAATGATCCCTGTTAGGAATTTGGAAAACATTATGCTGAGTGAAATAAGCCAATCCCAAAGGGACAAATACCACTTGTTCTCCCTGATAGGTGACAACTAACTGAGCACCAAAAAGGAAACCTGTTAAAGTGAAATGAACACTATGAGCAACAGTGACTTGATCAGCCCTCACCCTGACTGTTGATGAGCAACTTAATATGTTATCCCTCTTAGTATTTTGTTTGTTTGTTCTACTTAATACTTTTGGTTGAATACTGTAATCAATAAGCAATTCTTCTTAAGTGCTGAAACTTAACTGAAAAGTGATCGTTGTTAAATATAAGAGTGGGAATAAGAGAGGGAAGAGATGTGCAATTTGGGACATGCTCAAGCTGACTTACCTCAAACGGTAGAGTTAGAAACATACTAGGGGATTCCAATTCAATCCCATCAAGGTGGCATGTACCAATGCCATCTCACTAGTCCTGGTGATCAATTTCTGTTCACAATTGATCATAAATATAGGACTAAGAACCAAAGGGATCACATAAACAAAAATAGTGTCTGCAAATACTAGCTAATAGAATAAAAAAGGGAGAGAACGATCCAACATGGGAAGTGAGATACACAGCAGACCCATAGAATGGCAGATGTCCTAAACAGCACTTTGGCCTCAGAATCAGCTGTTAAGGCATGAAGATCTGGCTGAAAAGCCCATGAGAGTATTTCAGGCATGGAAAGCCAAGACACTGGGGAAAAAAAAAAAAAAAAACCTAAATGAAAGATCTCCGCGAGTGAGATCCCAGTGGAAAGAACGGGTCATCAAAGGAGGTACCTTTCTCTGAAGGGAGGAGAGAACTTCCACTTTGACCATGGCCTTGTCTAAATATGATCAGAGTCGGTGAACTCAGGGGGCTTCCATAGCCTTGGCAGCTCATGACAAGAGCCTAGGGTGATTACTGACGCCATAAACAAGAGTGTCAATTTGTTAAGTCAACAACAGGAGTCACTGTGCACTTACTCCTCATGTAGGATCTTTGTCCTTAGTGTGCTGTACATTGTGATTTAATGCTATAACTAGTACTCAAACAGTATTTTTCACTTTATGTTTCTGTGTGGGAGCAAACTGTTGAAATCTTTACTTAATGTATACTAAACTGATCTTCTGTATATAAAGAGAATCAAAAATGAATCTTGATGTGAATGGAAGGGGAGAGGGAGTGGCAAAGGGGACAGTTGTGGGTGGGAGGGACGTTATGGCGGGGAGGCCATTGTAATACATAAGTGTACTTTGGAAATTTATATTCATTAAATAAAAGTTAAAAAAAAAAGAAACTTCCACTGGACCATCAATAGACTGCTCAGCAGATATTTTAGGCCAGAAGAGGGTAAGATTACATATTTAAAGTGATGAGAAAAAAATATGAAACCTGTCAGCTAAGAACACTGTACCTGGAAAAATTATCCTTCTGAAATGAAGGGAAAGAAAGACTTTAAAACCATGGAAGTTCATCATCACCTGATCCACCTTAAAGATATACAAAAAAGAAATTCTTCAAATTGAAATGAGGTGATATTGAACAGCAATGCAAAAATGTGAAAATACAAAGCATTATTAAAAATGCAATTAGATAAATGCAGAGTACTCTCATATTGTAATTGTGGTAAGTAAACCACATTAAAGTTTAATGTAAAAACTAAAGATAAAATTATGAAAATGTAAAAGTATGCTAATGGATAAAATATGAAAACAATAATATCACTAACAGGCTTATAATTCTTTTTGGAACTATTTTTTGTATATTTATTTGAGAGGTAGAATTATAGACAGAGAGAGGGGGAAACAGAGACAGGTCTTTCATTCACTGGTTCACTCCCCAAATGGCTGCAATGGATGAAAGAGCTGAGCCAATCTGAAGCCAGGAGCCAGGAGATTCTTCTGGGTTTCCATGCAGGTACAGGGACTCAAACACTTGGGCCATGTTCTGCTGCTTTCCCAGGCAATTAGCAGGGAGTTGGGTCAGAAGAGGAGTAACTAGGACACAAACTGATGCCCATATGGGATTCTGGCACTGCATGGAGAGGCTTAACCTATTACACCACAGTGCTGGTCTCCAGACTTACAATGCTTAAGTTTTTTTATGTGAACCCAAGTAGATCCACAAAGGTAATACATGTAGAAGTTGCAAAAAGATAAAAGACTCAAGGAATATCAATACAAAATAATGGAAGAAAGAGAAGAAAAAAGAGATAAAAGGACAAGACAGAAAACAAAATGTCACTAAGCTCCTTTCCTATCAATAATTACTTTAAATGTAAATGGATTATATTTCCCAATGGAAAGATGAAGAATAGCTAAATGTATAAAGGAAAACAAAAGAAAGCAGCAAAAAAACATCAAGAAAAAATATCCAATATATGAAGTTTTCAAAAGATGTGTGGACATGTGTATTATGAGTAGACTGTGTATGAATTTCAAAATGTTTTGCACCAAAATAAAAATGTTCTATTTTGATGAACTTTTTGAAGTACCCTTCCATATGATACTTTAAGAGAAACACATTAAGAACACACATAGGGCATAAATGATGGAAAAAGATGTTTCCAGCAACTGATAAAAAAAGATAGGAACACCTATACCACCATCAGACACCAGAGACTTCAAATGAAAAACTACCATTAGAAACAAACAGTAGGGGTTGGTTTTACTGCATAGAGGTTAAGTCTCTTGCCTGTGAAGACAGCACCCCATATGGGCACTGGTTTGTGTCCTGGTTTCTCTACTTCTGATCCAGTTCCCAGCTCATGGCCTGTGAAAAGCAGCAGAAGATGGTCCACATGCTTGGGCCTCTGTACCCACCTGGGAGACTCAGTTGAAGTTCCTTGCTCCTGGGTTTGGCTTGGCCCAGCCCTAGCTGCTGCAACCATCTGAGGAGTGAACTAGTAGATGGAATGTCTCTCTCTCTCTCTCTCTGTCTCTCTCTCTCTCTAACTCTGACTTTCAAATAAATTTTTAAAAAAGAAAAAAATAGTGATAAAATGATAAATTCACCAGGAGTATATAACAATTGTATATGGACCCAACAATGGAGGACCTAAGTGTACAAAGAAAACATTGACAGAATTAAGGTAAGAAATAGGTAGAGGAGGAAATTTGATACCTCCTTTAGATATTAAATATAACACCTGGAGAGAAAATCAATAAAGAAATTGTAGACTTGAATAATATTATAAGCCAAATGGACCTAACAGACCTGTACAGAGCATTCTTATCATCAGTTTCAGAATACACATTCTTCTCAAATATACATGTAACATTCTCTAGGACAGATCATATGTTAGGCCATCAAACAGTTCTTGACAAATTTAGGAACACCAGAGTCTTACCTAGTATACAACCTGGTCAGAATAATGTGCAACTAGAAACCTAACATTGGAGGGAAAGCTAGAAAAAAAAAGTGTTGTAAAAGTTTTAAGCAGCAGACTTTAACTTTCAGTTGGTCAAAGATGAAATCAAAAGGTAAATTGAAAAATAGCTTGAAACAAAACAGACATAGCACAACTTAAGGGATGTCACAAAAGCAATACTACAAGTTGAGGTGCATACCAGTAAATTTCCTATATTAAACAAATATAATAAAAATATTAAATAACAACTTCACACCTCAGTAAACTATAAGAGAAACAAACAGCCCCAAATTAGGTGAAGAATGGATGAAAATCATGATTATAACAAAAATAAATAGATAACAGGGAAATAAAAAGAGAATTGAGTTGGCATTTTGAAAAGGCAGACAAAATTGATGAACTTTTAGCTAGTATGATCAACCAAAAAAAAAAAAAGACTCCAAATAATGAAGTCAGAAATGAAAGAAGAGACATTCTAACTAATGTCATAAAAATTAGAAAGTACCGTTAAGAGACTACTATGAATAATTAAATGCTAACAAGTTAGATATTCTAGATAAAAAGAGAATGAATTCCTAGAAACATCCAACCTGCCATGACTGAATCATGAAGAATCAGAATATATGAATACCTGGAAGTAGTAAAGATATTGAATCGGGAATCAACAATCTCTCAATGAAGAAAAGCTTCAGACCAGTTGGCTTCAATGGAGAATTCCACCAAACATTGAAAGAAGAACTAATGTTAACTCTTTTCAATCTCTGCTAAAAAAGAAAGGAAGAAAGGAGAGGAAAGGAAAGGAATGGAAAGAAAAGAAGAAGAAGAAAAAAAGAAAAGGTTGAATAGGAAAGAACACATGCAGACTCATTATCCTGCTACCAAGTCTATACAGGATACCACAGAAAAGGAAACTAGAGACCCATATCCCCGAAAAACATGAAAAATTCCTCAAGAAAATACTCAAACCAAATTCAACAGCACATTAAAACACAAATACTCCATGTCCACATGGAATTTATTTCTCCAGTGCCAAGATGCTTCAACATGTGGACATCCACTAACATGATATTACATGTTAGTATAAAGGGTAAAATAGAAATGATCATTTCAAAATATGTGGGAAAACATTTTGCAAAAATTTATTATCTTTTCATGATATAGACAACTCAAGAAATTAGCAACTGAAAGAAATTACCTCAATAAAATTGAGGCCGTATATGAAAATTCCATAGCTAATATACTGAATGCCAAAATTGAACACCTTCCCTCCAATATCAGTAACAAGGCAGGAATGACCATTTCAGCCCCTTCTATGTAATACTGTACTAGAAGTCCTAATCAGAGCAATTAGGAAAGTAAAAGAAATACAAATCATCTAAAGTAGAATAAAAGAAAGTATGTCTGCTGGCAGATGATATGATCTTATGTATAGAAAACCTTAAAGACTACAAAAATACTATTAGAACTAATCAATGAATTAGTTAAGTTGAAGGACACAAAGTCAACCTACAAAAGTCAGTTGCATTTATATATACTATGAAATATTGAAAAAGAAAACCCAATAACCAATATCATTGAAATGACTATTTAAAAATAAACTAAGGAGGGGAAATATTTGTACACTGAAAACTACAAAACATTGATGAAAGAAATAAGATGCAAATAAATTGGAAGACTGATACTTTTCTGTGGTTAAATATGGTTTTTCCCTTGAAAACATTTTGAAGTTTAATAACCAGTGTAAAGGCTGGCACTGTGGCTCACTTGGCTAATCCTCTGCCTGTGGTTCTGGCACCCCAGGTTCTAGTCCTGGTTGGGGTGCCGGGTACTAGTCCCAGTTGCCCCTCTTCTGGTCCAGCTCTCTGCTGTGGCCCAGGAGGGCAGCAGAGGATGGCCCAGGTGCTTGGGTCCCTGCATCCGCATGGGAGACTGGGAGGAAGCACCTGGCTTCTGGCATCGGATCAGCACAGCGCTGGCTGTAGCGGCCATTAGGGGAGTGACCCAGTGGAAGGAGGACCTTTCTGTCTCTCACTGTCTATAACTCTCTCTCACTAACTCTGCCTGTCAAAAAAAAAAATAAAAATAACCGGTGTAAAGAGATTGAGATGTGGTGGGGTTTTTAAGGAGTGATTGGGTCATGAAGAGATATTAATCCCTTTCTGATGGGGTTGAATTGCTGATAGAGCAGAGCCACAACTTATGTTTTGTCTCTTCTGCATGCTCCCTCTTGTCCTTTTACCATATAACCCTCACCAAAAGCAGATCAGATATCATTGCTATGCTCTGGTGTTGCAGTTGATTTCTCAATAGTGTTGCAGTGGATTCGTTTCTGAGAGGAGGAGCGTGGTGGGGGCAAGAGGCGTGGAGTCACCACACAGACCCCGGGAGTCGAGTGAAAGCAGGCCTGAGGCGAGCAGCCCGCAGACTCGTTTATTACAGTTGGAATAACATCTTATATAGCCAAGACCAGCCAATCTGGTCAAGGGGCGGTCTATGCCTCCAACCAATCACAGACTGTTGCCAGGCAGGCTCCGTTTGCCATGTGGGTTTCAAAGCCATTCCTGAGTAACTGACACTCGCTTGCCAGTGGCCACCTTGGCATGGCCTTCTCATTCCACCACACTCTGGGACTTCCATGACTCCATGATGGTTACCTGAATATACCTCTTTTCCTTAAAAATTAATCAATCCCAGATATTTTCTCATAGAAACAAATAATGACTAAGAATATTATTAAAATGTTCTTACTACCCAAAGCAACCCACAGATTTTATGAGATTCCTATCAAAATCTCATAGCAGTTTTCACAGTAATGGAAAAAATTCAAAATTAATATGGAATCACAAAGAAGACAACTAGTCAAAAAATCTTGAGAAATAATAGCAAAGTTGGTAGAATCAAACTCTAATTTAAAAATCTATAGCAAGCAGCATGCCACTGGTATAAAGATGGACATAGAGATCAATGGAACAGAATAGAGAGCTAAAAATAATGGTTATGGCCGGCACCACAGCTCACTAGGCTAATCCTCCGCCTTTCAGTGCCGGCACACCGGGTTCTATTCCCGGTCAGGGCGCTGGATTCTGTCCCGGTTGCCCCTCTTCCAGGCCAGCTCTCTGCTGTGGCCAGGGAGTGCAGTGCAGGATGGCCCAAGTACTTGGGCCCTGCACCCCATGGGAGACCAGGATAAGTACCTGGCTCCTGTCATCGGATCAGCATGGTGCGCCGGCTGCGGCAGCGGCCAATGGAGGGTGAACCAACGGCAAAGGAAGACCTTTCTCTCTGTCTCTCACTGTCCACTCTGCCTGTCCAAAAAAAAAAATAAATAATGGTCATGTGGAAAAAGGTCAACTGACCTTTGACAAGGATGCCAAGAATACTCACCAGAGAAAGGATTATATCTTCAATGGATATTGTTGGGGAAACTGGAAATCCATTTTCCTGATAACTTGGTTAAAATGAGCAAAATACTGCTGTAGGAATTTCTTCTAAGATTTATTTTTTCTATACAAATGTCCAACAGGTATATGAAAAGATGCTCAATCACCAGGGAAATGTAAATCAAAAGCATAGTGAAATGTCACCTGACAGCTATAATGATGGCTATTATTTTAAAAAAAATTGCAAGAGGGTGTTTGTGAGACTTTCACAAGCCTGAAAGATAGAGTGGGAACTTCCACCTTCTTCTATGGCTTTCCCAAGTGATAAATCCAGGCTTGCAAATCTACCTGGAAGGAGATTGTATAATCTAAGCAAGCCTGAATTGTGGAGTGGGCATTCATTACTTTCCTCCCTGATTTGTGTTGGCAAAAAGTTGAGGTCTTTGACCCTCCCGGGAAGTTGTTTCTGTAGTGTATCAAGCCTATCAATCTGAGGTTCTGTATTCTAAATTACATAAACTGGGGCTGACAAGTTTCTGTGTTCCTGAGTCTCCTACTCCACTGAGAACAGATAAGTGGTTTTCACACTTTCAAAATTCAATAGGCTCTCTCCCAAAATTCAAGGTGGGCAGTCTGAAAGAAAGTACGGGTGTCTGTCATGAGTCTTCTTGAATGAGAGCACAAATATGAGATGCATTCTAACTTGGAGCTTCTCTGCAAGGAATGAGATATCTGGGACACACGTGTAACACTCAACTCCTCCAGTTACATCCTGAGGGACTTGATGCTATCTCACCCATCACAAGGCAGTAGCACAGCTTGTCACACTCTAATCTCTGAAAGGCCCATAAGAACAGTGACAATTGATGACACAGTCTGACAGGAAGGACCATCTGCTGTGTAGAAACCAACAAAGTCAATGAAGAATCAGGAAAATAATTTCCAATCACAAGAATAAGATAAATTTGCAGAAACTGTTGCTAATGGAGATATGTGATTTACCCGGAAGTGTATTTTAAAGAATGATCATAAAGATATGTACTGAAATAAGGAGAACAATGCATGAACAAGCTGAGAATTTCTTTTTTTTTTTAATCTTTTATTTAATGAATATAAATTTCCAAAGTACGACTCATGTGTTACAATGGCTTCCCCCCCCATACCGTCCCTCCCACCCACAACCCTCCCCTTTCCCACTCCCTCTCCCCTTCCATTCACATCAAGATTCATTTTCGATTATCTTAATATACAGAAGATCAGCTTAGTATACCTTAAGTAAGTATTTCAACAGTTTGCTCCCACACAGAAACATAAAGTGAAAAATAATAGATGATTTTTTTTTAAATGATGATGAAATCAGATCAGACCTATTGTCATGTTTAATCCCAGTGAGAGTCAAGTTGGGAATTGATAATTTCTTTCTTTCTTTCTTTCTTTCTTTTTTTTTTTTTTTTACAGAAGATCAGTTTAGTGTACATTAAGTAAAGATTTCAGTCGTTTGCACCCCCATAGAAACACAAAGTGAAATATACTGTTTGAGTACTCGTTATAGCATTAAGCCTCAGTGTACAGCACGTTAAGGACAGAGATCCTACATGAGGAGTAAGTGCACAGTGACTCCTGTTGTTGACTTTACCAATTGACACTCCTGTTTATGGCATCAGTAATCTCCCTATGCACCAGTTATGAGTTTCCAAGGCTATGGAAGCCCCTTGAGTTCTCCGACTCTTATCTTGTTTAGACACGGTCATAGTCAAAGTGGAGGTTCTCTCCTCCCTTCAGAGAAAGGCACCTCCCTCTTTGAAGACCTGTTCTTTCCACTGGGATCTCACTCACAGAGATCTTTTTGCCAGAGTGTCTTGGCTTTCCATGCCTGAAATACTCTCATGGGCTTTTCAGCCAGATCCGAGTGCCTTTAGGGCTGATTCTGAGGCCAGAGTGCTATTTAGGACATCCGCCATTCTATGAGTCTGCTGAGTATCTCACTTCCCATGTTGGATCACTCTCCCCTTTATTTATTCTATCGGTTGGTGTTAGCAGATACTAGACTTGTTTATGTGCTCCCTTTGACTCTTAGTCCTTTCATT